CCTGGGTACTGTAGGACCATCTACTGTTGGACTGACTACCCTGGGTACTGTAACACCATCTACTGTTGGACTGACTACCCTGGGTACTGTAGGACCATCTACTGTTGGACTGACTACCCTGGGTACTGTAGGACCATCTACTGTTGGACTGACTACCCTGGGTACTGTAACACCATCTACTGTTGGACTGACTACCCTGGGTACTGTAGGACCATCTACTGTTGGACTGACTACCCTGGGTACTGTAGGACCATCTACTGTTGGACTGACTACCCTGGGTACTGTAGGACCATCTACTGTTGGACTGACTACCCTGGGTACTGTAGAACCATCTACTGTTGGACTGACTACCCTGGGTACTGTAGCACCATCTACTGTTGGACTGACTACCCTGGGTACTGTAGGACCATCTACTGTTGGACTGACTACCCTGGTACTGTAGGACCATCTACTGTTGGACTGACTACCCTGGGTACTGTAGGACCATCTACTGTTGGACTGACTACCCTGGGTACTGTAGGACCATCTACTGTTGGACTGACTACCCTGGGTACTGTAGACCATCTACTGTTGGACTGACTACCCTGGGTACTGTAGGACCATCTACTGTTGGACTGACTACCCTGGTACTGTAGGACCATCTACTGTTGGACTGACTACCCTGGAAACTGTAGCACCATCTACTGTGGACTGACTACCCTGGGTACTGTAGGACCATCTACGTTGGACTGCCCTCCCGGGGTACTGTAGGACCATCTACTGTTGGACTGATACCCCTGGGTACTGGTAGCCCCATCTACTGTTGGACGACTACCCTGGGTACTGTGGACCATCATGTTTGGACGACTAACCCTGGGTACTGTGGACCATCTACTGTTGGACTGACTACCCTGGGTACTGTAGGACCATCTACTGTTGGACTGACTACCCTGGGTACTGTAGGACCATCTACTGTTGGAACTGACTAAACTCTGGGTAACTGTAGAAAGACCATCTAACTGTTATAAATGATGTATACTGGAATATCCCTGTATAATAATTAATTTGGCTGTATGTATTTTTAGATATAGTCCTATTGTAAATGTGTATTGTTGCGCCACCATCTTTATTGCAAACATAACTAACATAAGCTGTATGCACTCACTAACTGTAAATCGCTCTGGATAAGAGTGTCTGCTAAATGACTAAAAATGTTAAAATGTAAAAAAAAAAAAAAAAGCTACATATTACATTATATGTACAAAAGTATGTGGACACCCATTCAAATTGGTGGATTTGGCTATGTCAGCCACACCCGTTGCTGACAGGTGTATGAAAATCGAGCACACAGCCATGCAATCTCCATAGACAAACATTTGGCAGTAGAATGGCCCGCACTGAAGAGCTCAGTGACTTTCAACGTGACACTGCCATAGGATGCCACTTTTCCAACAAGTCAGTTTGTCAAATTTCTGTCCTGCTAGAGATGCCCCGGTCAACTGTAAATCAAATCAAATGTTATTTGTCACATACACGTGTTTAGCAGATGTTATAGCGGGTGTAGCGAAATGCTTGTGCTTCTAGCTCCGACAGTGCAGTAATATCTAACAAGTAATATCTAACAATTTCACAACATATACCCAATAAACACAAAACTAGTAAGGAATGGGATTTAAGAACATATACATATATGGACAAGCAATGACAGAGCGGCATGGACTAAGATACAGTAGAATATTATAGAATACAGTATACACATATGAGATGAGTAGTGCAAGATATGTAAACATTATTAAAGTGACTAGTGTTCCATTTCTTAAAGTGGCCAGTGATTTCAATAGGCAGCAGCAGCCTCTAATGTGCTAGTGATGGCTATTTAACAGTCTGATGGCCTTGAGATAGAAGCTATTTTTCATTCTCTCGGTCCCAGCTTTGATGCACCTGTACTGACCTCGTCTTCTGGATGATAGTGGGGTGAACAGGCAGTGGCTCGGGTGGTAATTAAACTGGCAAAACATCAGTATAGAGTCGCAATTCAACGGCTCAGACACGAGACGTACAGTTGAAGTCGTAAGTTTACCTACACCTTAGGCAAATACATTTAAACTCAGTATTTCACAATTTAATCCTAGTAAAAAGTCCCTGTCTTAGGTCAGTTAGGATCACCACTTCACTTTAAGAATGTGAAATGTCAGAATAATAGTAGAGAGAATGATTTATTTCAGCTTTTATTTCTTTCATCACATTCCCAGTGGGTCAGAAGTTTACATACACGCAATTAGTATTTGGTAGCATTGCCTTTAAATTGTTTAACTTGGGTCAAACATTTCAGGTAGCCTTCTACAAGCTTCCCACAATACGTTGGGTGAATTTTGCCCCATTCCTCCTGACAGAGCTGGTGTAACTGAGTCAGGTTTGCAAGCCTCCTTGGTCGCACACGCTTTTTCAGTTCTGCCCACACATTTTCTATAGGATTGAGGTCAGGGCTTTGTGATGGCCACTCCAATACCTTGACTTTGTTGTCCTTAAGCCATTTTGCCACAACTTTGGAAGTATGCTTGGGGTCATTGTGCATTTGGAAGACCCATTTGCGACCAAGCTTTAACTTCCTGAATGATGTCTTGAGATGTGGTCCTCTGTAGCTCAATTGGTAGAGCATGGCGCTTGTAATGCCAGGGTAGTGGGTTCGATCCCCGGGACCACCCATACGTGAAAATGTATGCACACATGACTGTAAGTCGCTTTGGATAAAAGCGTCTGCTAAATGGCATTTTATTATTATTATTATGTTGCTTCAATATATCCACATCATTTTCCTTCCTCATGATGCCATCTATTTTGTGAAGTGCACTAGTCCCTCTTGCAGCAAAGCACCCCCACAGCATGATGCTGCCACCCCCGTGCTTCACGGTTGGGATGGCGTTCTTCGGCTTGCAAGCAACCCCCTTTTTCCTCCAAACATAACGATGGTCATTATGGCCAAACAGTTCTATTTTTGTTTCATCAGACCAGAGGACATTTCTCCAAAAAGTACGATCTTTGTCCCCATGTGCAGTTGCAAACCGTAGTCTGGCCTTTTTATGGCGGTTTTGGAGCAGTGGCTTCTTCCTTGCTGAGTGGCCTTTCAGGTTATATCGATATAGGACTTGTTTAACTGTGGATATAGATACTTTTGTACCTGTTTCCTCCAGCATCTTCACAAGGTCCTTTGCCGTTGTTCTGGGATTGATTTGCACTTTTCGCACCAAAGTACGTTCATCTCTAGGAGACAGAACGCGTCTCCTTCCTGAGTGGTATGACGGCTGCGTGGTCCCATGGTGTTTATACTTGCATACTATTGTTTGTACAGATGAACGTGGTACCTTCAGGCGTTTGGAAATTGCTCCCAAGGATGAACCAGACTTGTGGAGGTCTAAAAAAAAATTCTGAGGTCTTGGCTGATTTCTTTTCATGATGTCAAGCAAAGAGGCAATGAGTTTGAAGGTAGGCCTTGAAATACATCCACATGTACACCTCCAATTGACTCAAATGATGTCAATTAGCCTATCAGAAGCTTCTAAAGCCATGATATCATTTTCTGGAATTTTCCAAGCTGTTTAAAAGGCACAGTCAACTTAGTGTACAGTGAGGGAAAAAAGTATTTGATCCCCTGTTGATTTTGTACGTTTGCCCACTGACAAAGACATGATCAGTCTATAATTTTAATGTTATGTTTATTTGAACAGTGAGAGACAGAATAACAACAACAAAATCCAGAAAAACGCATGTCAAAAATGTTATAAATTGATTTGCATTTTAAATGAGGGAATTAAGTATTTGACCCCTCTGCAAAACATGACTTAGTACTTGGTGGAAAAACCCTTGTTGGCAATCACAGAGGTCAGATCTTTCTTGTAGTTGGCCACCAGGTTTGCACACATCTCAGGAGGGATTTTGTCCCACTCCTCTTTGCAGATCTTCTCCAAGTCATTAAGGTTTCGAGCCTGACGTTTGACAACTCGAACCTTCAGCTCCCTCCACAGATTTTCTATGGGATTAAGGTCTGGAGACTGGCTAGGCCACTCCAGGACCTTAATGTGCTTCTTCTGGAGCCACTCCTTTGTTGCCTTGGCCGTGTGTTTTGGGTCATTGTCATGCTGGAATACCCATCCACGACCCATTTTCAATGCCCTGGCTGAGGGAAGGAGGTTCTCACCCAGATTTGACGGTACATGGCCCCGACCATCGTCCCTTTGATGCGGTGAAGTTGTCCTGTCCCCTTAGCAGAAAAACACCCCCAAAGCATAATGTTTCCACCTCCATGTTTGAGAATGTGCTCCAAATCTCAGCTCGTTACCTGTATAAAAGACACCTGGGAGCCAGAAATCTTTCTGATTGAGAGGGGGTCAAATACTTATTTCCCTCATTAAAATGCAAATCAATTTATACATTTTTGGGATTTTTTTTTGTTATTCTGTCTCTCACTGTTCAAATAAACCTACCATTAAAATTATAGACTGATCATTTCTTTGTCAGTGGGCAAACGTACAAAATCTAAAACATCCAGAAAATCACATTGTATGATTTTTAAATAATTATTTTTTTTCAATGACATGTTGTGCTAAAATTAAGGTTTAAGGAAATACAGGCATGCACCACATTACTACAAGACAAAACAGCTCAATCAAGCCTGATGGTCTTGTAAGTAGAAAAGCAAAGCTTACATTCATAAAAAAAATAATTTAAGCATGAAAAGGTAGCATTATGGGATAATGTCTTACTGTGGTGTGTGAAGAAGCCAATACTTTACCTTGTATGCGGTACAAACCACATTACTGTGGAAGCACCTCGTCTAAGAGTATGAATTAGGCTGTTGGAGAAGGTTTGAATCCTAAGCAACCTGCCTACACATAGTTTGAAGTACAATACCAACATAGCTACTGTAGTAGGTCAAAGCTGTGGGCTGGAAAACCTTGGTAGAGCATGGGTGGAATAGGCATTGTGGTGCTCATGTGAATTTCCTTTATTTTTCGGCTTCACGCCAATGCCTATTCTCACTTAAAATGTTGTTTTTTGTTTTTATTTGTATATTTGCCTCATCATCTTCATCATCATCATCATCATCTCACCTCGATGCCCTCCTTGTTGAGTGCGTACTCGTCAAAGTTGAGGATGGCGGTCTTGATGGTGCGAGGAGGAGGCAGGACGGTCAGTCCGATGTTGATGGCGTTACTCCTCTTGGAGTCCAGAACGATGACCTCCTGACGTTTACCGTCCGCCGCCGTTTTCTGATGGAACAATAGACAGACAGACAGACAGACAGACAGACAGACAGACACAGGTTACTGAGAGGTCACAGAGGCTGTTTTCTGATGCAACAAACAGAAGGACAGACAGAAAGACACAGGTTACTGAGAGGTCACAGAGGCTGTTTTCTGACTACCGTATTTTCCGCACTATAAGGCGCACTTAAAAGCCTTTAATTTTCTCAAAAAACGACAGTGCGCCTTATAATCCGGAGCGCCTTATATATGGATCAATTGGTTAATTGGTTGATCCATGCTGGTTGTACACGGTGCTCAAGGCGCTCTGTCAAAATGTTTCAGCATGAAAAAACAATAAAAACAATTTAATAATAATGAAATGTTTCAGTACGACTGGTAAACTACAAAGCCGCACCACTTGCAGCATTACGGCTACCGTAGTCAGTAAACACCGGTGCTGTGCTTACTCACAGTCCCACACCACTTGTGTGTGTATAAAGACCCCAAAATGGCACCTTTCAAGAGACACGCTTACGACGCAGAGTTCAAGCTCAAGGCTGTCGGTCACGCAGTAGAATATGGGAATAGAGCAGCAGCGAGAGAATTCAACATTAATGAATCAATGGTACGGAAGTGGAGGAAGCAAGACGATGACCTGCGCCAAGTAAAGAAGACTAAACAGAGTTTCCGTTCAATTCGGACACTGAAGAAGAAGAATTCGATGGATTCGTGGACGGGGAATGAACTGAAAAAGTGAGCCTTACGTGTTATACGTAACTGAACAATGTTGAGTTATGCACTAACGTTTGATTTAGTGGTATCAGACTGTTTCTTTTACTACGTGTTTACTGAATCAGGGAAAAGTTCCCCTCCACGTTTGGGAGAAGAGTGAGCAAGGCTGGGAGATATTGTTAATATGCACATTAACGTTTGAACAACGTTACCATGGGAGTGAACGGAGTTGTCAGAACGCTTAATAAAGTTTGACTTTATCTGACTGTTTTGTTGACATTCCCTTTAGCACAGCTCCATCTAGTGGATGCATAACGCAACCCCAGTCAAACGTTTGACTTCAGTATCTTCTATTCTATGCGCCTTATAATCCGGTGCGCCCTAGATAAGAAAACAGTTCTAAAATAGGCCATTCATTGAAGGTGCGCCTTATAATCCGGTGCGCCTTATAGTGCGGAAAATACGGTATGTCAAAATATCCGCATATTATAGTTCACTATTCATGATGCACTTTGAAAGCACTTTGCGACAACTGCTGATGTAAGGGATTTATAAATCAATTTGATTGACTGACTGACTGGATACGAGTAGTGTGCAAGACTCATTCTCTATACAGTGCATTCGGAAAGTATTCAGAGCCCTTCCCTTTTCCCACAATTTGTTACGTAACAGCTTACCTTATTCTAAAATTGATTAAATAAAACATGTTCATCCATCTACACACAATACCCCATAATGACAAAGCGAAAACTAGTTTTTAGACATTTCTGCAAATAATAAAAAAAGAAAACTGAAATACCTTATTTACATAAGTATTCAGACCCTTTGCTTTGAGACTCGAAATTGAGCTCAGGTGCATACTGTTTCAATTAATCACCCTTGAGATGTTTCTACAACTTGATTGGAGTCAACCTGTGGTAAATTCAATTGATTGGACATGATTTGGAAAGGCACACACCTGTCTATTTAAGGTCCCACAGTTGACAGTGCATGGCAGAGCAAAAACCAAGCCATGAGGTTGAAGGACTTGTCCGTAGAGCTCAGAGACAGGATTGTGTCGAGGCACAGATCTGGGGAAGGGTACCAAAACATTTCTGCAGCATTGAAAGTCCCCAAGAACACAGTGGCCTCCCTCATTCTTAAATGGAAGAAGATTGGAACCACCAAGACTCTTCCTAGAGCTGGCCACCCGGTCAAACTGAGCAATTGGGGGAGAAGGGCCTTGGTCAGGGAGGTGACCAAGAACCCGATGGTCACTCTGACAGAGCTCCAGAGTTCCTCTGTGGAGATGGGAGAACCTTCCAGAAAGACAACAATCTCTGCAGCACTCCACCAATCAGGTCTTTATGGTAGAGTAGCCAGACGGAAGCCACTTCTCAGTAAAAGGCACATGACAGTCCACTTGGAGTTTGCTAAAAGTCACCTAAAGGAATCTCAGACCATGGGAAACAAGATTCTCTGGTCTGATGAAACCAAGATTGAACTCTTTGGCCTGAATGCCAAGTGTTATGTCACTACGGTGAAGCATGGTGGTGGCAGCATCATGCTGTGGGGATGTTTTTCAGCGGCAGGGACTGGAAGACTGGTCAGGATCGAGGGAAAGATGAACTGAGAAAAGTACAGAGCAATCCTTGATGAAAACCTGCTCCAGAGCCCTCAGGACCTCAGACTGGGGCGAAGGTTCACCTTCCAACAGCACAACGACCCTAAACACACAAGTCTCTGAATGTCTGTGAGTGGCCCAGCCAGAGCCAGGACTTGAACCTGATTGAACATCTCTGGAGAGACCTGAAAATAGCTGTGCAGCGACGTTCCCCATCCAACCTGACAGAGCTTGAGAGGATCTGCGGAGAAGAATGGGAGAAACTCCCCAAATACAGGTGTGCCAAGCTTGTAGTGTCATACCCAAGAAGACTTGAGGCTGTAATTGCTGCCAAAGGTGCTTCAAGAATGTACTGAGTAAAGGGTCTGTGTAAATGTGATATTTCTGTTTCTTTTATTTGTAATCAATTTGCAAATATTTCAAAAAAACTGTTTTTGCTTTGTCATTATGGGGTAATGTGTGTAGATTGATGAGGGAAAAAAAACAAATTAAAAAGTCAAGGGGTCTCGCCCTCCATTTGGCAAATCTGACCATAACTCTATCCTCCAGATTTCTGCTTACAAGCAAAAACTCAAACAGGAAGTACCAGTGAAGTGCTCAATACGGAAGTGGTCCTATGAAGCAGATGCTAAGCTATGGGACTGTTTTGCTAGCACAGACTGGAATATGTTCTGGGATTCATCCAATGGAATTGAGGAGTTTACCACATCAGTCACCGGCTTCATTAATAAGTGCATCAACGACGTCGTCCCCACAGTATAACCTGTCTAACTGACTACCGCTCCAAAGCCATGAAATGCTTTGAAAGGCTGGTCATGGCTCACATCAACACCATTATCCCAGAAACCCTGGATGCATACCACTCCAACAGATCCACAGATGACGTAATCTCTATTGCACTCCACACTGCCCTTTCCCACCTGGACAAAAGGAACACCTATGTGAGAATGCTGTTCATTGACTACAGCTCAGCGTTCAAAACCATAGTGCCCTCAAAGCTCATCACTAAGCTAAGGACCCTGGGACTTAGCACTTCCCTCTGCAACTGGATCTTGGACTTCCTGACGGGCCGCAGCCAGGTGGTGAGGGTAGGCAACAACACATCTGCCACACTGACCCTCAACATGGGGGCCCCTCAGGGGTGCGTGCTCAGTCCCCTCCAACACCATCATTAAGTTTGCAGACGACAAGACGGTGGTAGGCCTGATCACCGACGATGGTGAGACAGCCTATAGGGAGGAGGTCAGAGACCTGGCAGTGTGGTGCCAGGACAACAACGTCTCCCTCAGCGTCAGCAAGACAATGGATCTTATCGTGGACTACAGGAAAACGGAGGGCCGAACACGCCCCCATTCACATTGACGGGGCTGTGGTGAAGCGTGTTGACAGCGTCAAGTTCTTTGGTGTCTGCATCACTAAGGGTCTATCATGGTCCAAACACACCAACACAGCCGTGAAGAGGGCACGACAATGACTTTACCCCTCAGGAGGCTGAAAAGATGTGGCATGGGCCCTCAGATCCTCAAAAAGTTATACAGCTGCACCATTGAGAGCATCTTGACTGGCTGCATCACCGCTTGGTACGGCAACAGCTCTGCAGTCAACCACAAGGCACTACAGAGGGTAGTGCGTATGGCCCAGTACATCACTGGGGCCGAACTCCCTGCCATCCAGGACCTCTATACCAGGCGGTGTCAAAAGGAAGGCCCAAATTGTCACGATCGTCAGGGAGAGACCAAGGCGCAGCGTTGAATGCGAACATTATATTTATTAGAATGATCACACGATCAAAACAACAGACGAAAACGTGATGTCTACGGTTGAACACAAACCAAATAAGAACAAGAAACCACAAACACAAAGTGAAAGACAGACAGTTAAATATGGCTCCCAATCAGAGACAACCAGCTGACACTCGTTGCCTCTGATTGGGAGTCACTCAGGCCAACATAGAAATACAAACATAGAATTACACACCCTGGCTCAACATAACAGTGTCCCCAGAGCCAGGGCGTGACAGTACCCCCCCCTAAAGGCGCAGACTCCGACCGCGCCATCTAAATACCACAGGGGAGGGACCGGGTGGGCACTCCGCCTTGGCGGCGGATCCGGCTCCGGGCCTGATCCCCACTCCCTCTCCAACCCCCCAAAGTACCCCTGGTCCGGTCTGGCCCCGCTGGCCGGAGCTGGACTGCACACTGATGGAGCGGATTGCTCTAGCTCCGGCGTAACGCATCTGACCGGTGCCGGACCAGGCACCAGTGGAACAGGCACGGGCCGTGCTGGACTGACGACGCACACCACTGGCTTGGTGTGGGGAGCAGGAGCGGGCCGGACAGGGCTGACGAAACGCACCACTGACTTGGTGCGGGGAGCAGGCCGGGCCGAGCTGGCGACACGCACCGTAGACTTGGTGCGGGGAGCAGGAACGGGCCGAGCCGGGCTGACGAAACGCACCACAGACTTGGTGCGGGGAGCAGGAATGGGCCGGACTGGGCTGGCGACGCGCACCACAGACTTGGTGCGGAGAGCAGGAACGGGCCGGACAGGGCTGACGAAACGCACCACAGACTTGGTGCGGGGAGCAGGAATGGGCCGAGCCGGGCTGACGAAGCGCACCACTGACTTGGTGCGGGGAGCAGGAACGGACCGAGCCGGGCTGACGAAGCGCACCACTGACTTGGTGCGGGGAGCAGGAACGGGCCGAGCCGGGCTGACGAAGCGCACCACTGACTTGGTGCGGGGAGCAGGAACGGGCCGAGCCGGGCTGACGAAGCGCACCACTGACTTGGTGTGGGGAGCAGGAACAGACCGGACCGTACTGGGGACACACACCACTGGCCCTACACCGGGATCTGGAACGGGCCGGACCGGACTGGTAACACACCCCAGTACCTCTCGCCGTGCCTCTCCACCTTCCATCCCCTCTTCGACCAGTGGCCCCCGTAACCTGGCGGCCTCCTCTGCCAACCCGCTGGACCGCTCTATCGCGGCCTCCTGCTGCCCCGACGTCGTGAGCCCCCCCCTAAAAAATTTCTGGGGGTCTCTCCTCCCCGTGGGCCAGGCCTCTATCGTTCTCGCCCAACTCTCGCTCTTCTGTCTCCAACTCCCGCTATTCAGCTCCTCAATGGGCTTGACCCAGTCGAAGCTCTTCCTCAACTGTTCCCAAGTCCACTCTCTCTGCTCCTCACTAGGCTTGACCCAGTCGAGGTTGCCACGGAGATCTGCTAGCGATGGCTCCTGGACACGTTGCTTGGTCCGGTTTTGGTGGTTTCTTCTGTCACGATCGTCAGGGAGAGACCAAGGCGCAGCGTTGAATGCGAACATTATATTTATTAGAATGATCACACGATCAAAACAACAGACGAAAACGTGATGTCTACGGTTGAACACAAACCAAATAAGAACAAGAAACCACAAACACAAAGTGAAAGACAGACAGTTAAATATGGCTCCCAATCAGAGACAACCAGCTGACACTCGTTGCCTCTGATTGGGAGTCACTCAGGCCAACATAGAAATACAAACATAGAATTACACACCCTGGCTCAACATAACAGTGTCCCCAGAGCCAGGGCGTGACACAAATACTCTAGCCATCCAAGTCATAGACTGTTCTCTCTGCTACCGCACGGCAAATGGTAACGGAGCGCCAAGTCTGGGATCAAAATGCTCCTGAATAGCTTCTACCCCGACGCCATAAGACTGCTGAACAGTTAATCAAATGGCCACCCGGACTAAACACATCACAGGTTGGTGGCACCTTAATTGGGGAGGACGGGCTCGTGGTAATGGCTGGAGCGGTATTAGTGGAATGGTATCAAATACATCAAACACATGGTTTCCAGGTGTTTGATTCCATTCCATTTGCTCCGTTTCAGCCATTAGTATGAGCCGTCCTCCCGATCAGCCGGCTCCACTGATTTGACCCCCTTTAGTATTTATTTATTGTAATTTTCTTTGCACTGACTCTCTTGTACTGGCTCACGCACTCAACACATACTACACTGACACTCCAACACACACACACACACACACACACACACACACACACACACACACACACACACACACACACCAGTGTCGGTTGATGCTGTTTAAGATGACACCCCTGATCACACGCAAACACAGTTCACTTTCATCGCAGCCACATACAAAACAGCATGATCACTTGATTCTCGCACCTCCTCTCACATTTTTCCCTTCGATTACGGACTTCAGTGCACAACACATCAGCTGTCTGTGACCAGGCCCAAAAAAATATTTCCAAGCCAAACCTTTATTCTGTATCTTAACCGCTAACCGCTACACACAGCTTACATCATTGCCAACATTATTAGCTAACGCCATAGTCAACATAGCCACTAGAACTAACACGTTAGTAAACCCGCTACAATCATGCAGTACACAGTGTACAGTCAGCAAGCAGTTTAGCAGTTACACCGGTGGGCCCCTGGTGGCAATCATTTAATAAAACCAAAAGCTGACCTTGACTTGGAAGAGTTCCAGTGTTGGATAGCCATAGCTATAGAAATTCCCTGAGGAGGATGGTCCTCCCCTTCCTCCTCTGAGGAGCCTCCACTGACTCACACTCACACATAGACACACTTTCACACTCTTCACACACACTGCTACTAGTCTGTTTATTTTGTATCCTGATTGCCTAGTCACTTATATATATATATATTTATATACCTACATGTGCGTACTGTATTACCTCCATTACCTCGTACTCCTGCACATTGACTCAGTACTGGTACCCCTTTGTATATAGCCTTGTTATTGTTTTTATGGTGTTACTGTCTCCTTTTTCATTTAGCAAATATTTTTCTTACTTTTTAACTCTGCATTGTTGGTAACGGGCTCGTAAGTAAGCATTTCACTGTAAAGTCTACGCCTGTTGTATGTGACAAATAACATTGCATTTTATTTGTATCTCTCTCTCTGCTAGTCTAATGTCTGGGATTCCAGTGAGATGTTAAACTAGGAGACGTACGGATTCAACTCCACCTATGGCTTCCTCTCTGTGTACACGTGAGTATCCTCCCTTCAGCTCCTTAATCTCTAAATGGCTAAATCAATGCCTGGAATTTTAATTTAGGAGCACCAGTGCGCCTAGAAAAATTAAGTATTCTAGCTTTATTACCACATATCGTTTTCATTGCCCGGCAACATTTGTTTCTGTTTTCTTACATTTCTTCAACTGACACACTGACCACACCGCTCCCGTCGCGTGCGCGAGCATTGCAAAATAAATGTACACATACATGTTATTCAAAACACTGCACCCACACTGATCGTGCGCGTCAACGAGCGTCTGCGTAGCCAGGCGCTAAAATAGAACTTGCTTCTATTTGTGACGCTTGACGCGCTGCAAGTCCCGCCTCTCCCATACCCACGTGGGTGATTGAAAGATGAACTGAGGTCCACACTCCAGTCCAGTTGGTGGTGGTAATGCACCTTAAAGTTGGTTGCCAACCGCCATATAAAGTCCAAAGAAGAAGACTAAAGGAGGAGAGATTACTAGAAACTAACTCTGTTTCCCCTTTTATCTGTGGATTAATTGTTGGAGTAGAGGACCGTGTGCATTTCAGGTCAAATAAAAACCCAATGTTTATATCCCAGGAAAAATTAGCTAGCAACAGCAAGCTAGCTAGCTAAATTGGCATAAATGTTTCGTGCTTTTCGACCTGTCCCCAAATTAATATAGTTGGTTCAGAGTTCATTTTGATATTTCAACCTGCGTGTCCTGATCGCGTCTGGTGTGGGTGGACAAAATCAACATGCGGGCGATGACGCACGCGAGTGGTCTGGTCAGCGTGTTAGGCACACACACACGGTCAGCGTAGAGCCCTGTGTATTTATACTGGTATAACTTACTGATAAGACCAATGTCAATTTTCTCTCCTTCCCATCTATCCATCTCTCCCCCCCCTCAGTGTTCCTCTGGAGAGGCCTGCCTCGAATGAATGTGACCGAGGGCAACCCTCCAATGTTTTCGGGCTATATGAGAGAGTGGCTAGGTTTCAGTTTTGCATCGGTACATTTCTCACTTTGAATGAGACTGTGTGAACTGTAATCCTAACTCTGTTTCTCCTTCAACAAAAAAATGAAATATTTACCCTGTTGGCCTCCATGTAATCAGTTAGCTTTCCTTCATAATTACATCAACATCACTTCTCTCAGATATTCAAACGGAAGGCACTTTTGATAGCTAATTGTCCTCGGTCATTCGAACGTCACTGTTCACAAATTAGTGGGATTTCTTAAATGTCCTCTTAGAGAACCTCTACGGGAGAATGCGACATTTCTATACATCCTTCCAGCAAGAAAACTAGTGAGCAGATCATCTGCTGACCATTTAAGGAACTGAGTTCTCAACCGATGTGCCAAATTTCGTTCCATAATTACATTTGTACATTTTAGTCATTTTAGCAGACGCTCTTATCCAGAGCGACTTACAGTTAGTGAGTGCATACATTTTTCATACTGTGGAGTATTGACGGAGAAATAACAAGGGGAAAAACTCACTTTAACATGCTGGCTGAAAACCTATAATGACATCCTGGTCACATTAAACATCCTGGTCGCATCAACCAGTTATAACATCCTGGTCGCATCAACCAGTTATAACATCCTGGTCGCATCAACCAGTTATAACATCCTGGTCGCATCAAACATCCTGGTCGCATCAACCAGTTATAACATCCTGGTCACATCAACCAGTTATAACATCCTGGTCGCATCAACCAGTTATAACATCCTGGTCGCATCAACCAGTTATAACATCCTGGTCGCATCAACCAGTTATAACATCCTGGTCGCATCAACCAGTTATAACATCCTGGTCGCATCAACCAGTTATAACATCCTGGTCGCATCAACCAGTTATAACATCCTGGTCGCATCAACCAGTTATAACATCCTGGTCACATCAACCAGTTATAACATTAAACAGTACAGGTGCTAAGACCCACCTGCCACCCCCGCCACTGCTCCACCCAGCCCCTCCATCTGCGCCCCCCGCAAATTTAACAACAGTTGTGGTTTTGAGCAGTGTCTCTAATTAAAAAGTGCCAGAGGCTAGCATTGAGCCCCCAGTCTCTCCTATCCAGACCTTACCTATTATAGGATATTAGGGGGTTTACGGGGCCTTCCACGGAAGGATCCGTCTACACACACGTAGACAAGGCTTTAACGTGATAGCTGAATTCTCATGAACTTTAGCTGTGGTCCCTTCAGTCTTGATGTCTAACATCCTTGTTAGGTTGTATTTTGAGTGGACAAGGTGTGTGTGGTTACCTTGGTGACAGGTATCTCCTTGGACTTGGTCTGGAAGAGTTGTTCTAGTCTGGACGTGTCTATCTTGACTGGCTCTAGTTTGATCCACAGAGAGTCTCCACTGCTCCTGCTGCTAATGTCCTGGTAGTCTGACGGACGCACCTGGAACACAACATCAACCAATAGATTAATGACCTGGAACACAACATCAACCAATAGATTAATGACCTGGACACAACATCAACCAATAGATTAATGACCTGGAACACAACATCAACCAATAGATTAATGACCTGGAACACAACATCAACCAATAGATTAATGACCTGGACACAACATCAACCAATAGATTAATGACCTGGACACAACATCAACCAATAGATTAATGACCTGGAACACAACCACAACCAATATATTAATGACTTGGACACAACCACAACCAATAGATTAATGACCTGGAACACAACCACAACCAATAGATTAATGACCTGGAACACAACCACAACCAATATATTAATGACCTGGAACACAACCACAACCAATAGATTAATGACCTGGAACACAACCACAACCAATAGATGAATGACCTGGACACAACCACAACCAATACATTAATGACTTGGACACAACCACAACCAATAGATTAATGACCTGAACACAACCACAACCAATACATTAATGACTTGGACACAACCACAACCAATATATTAATGACTTGGACACAACCATAACCAATAGATTAATGGATATTTGAATGGATAGTGTTCGGTAAAGGATAAATTATCAGGCATTGGCAGCAAAGCATGATTTTGCTGACTACACATGATTGAAACCCAAGTACAAGAAGATGTTTTGGCTGCATGACCTTTTCAAGACGAGTCTCCATTCAATCCCTTAACACTGTATACGTTTAACCCCTTAGGGACAGAACCACAGGTTCTGCATTAACTCACAACCAATATATTAATGGATGGAATCAGTAAATGTGATTTATTTTGCTCAAGGCACACTGTAATGTAAAAGAGTAATGCCAGCAATGATAGAAGATTGAATGCCAAATAAAAGGGGATTGAAAGGAGCCTGTTTCGATAAAATGTTCCCTTTAAATACTGCTCCAAGTTCAACCCTTAAGAGAGTTGTCTAGAAACACCCACCTCACTCCAGAACAACCTGATAGTCTTCTTCTTCTGGAACAGAGGTGGTTCTGAAGGAGGTGGAGGGGCGGAGGCCGTGGGGGAGAAGGGGGGTTGAGGAGGCACGGAGGGTGGTGGCTGGCAGCCGAACAGGGGTGGGGGAGGAGGGCAGTAAGGGTTAGGGAGGTAGGGGTTGGGGGGTGGGGGAGGAGGGGGACACAGAGAGTCTGAACCTCCCATCAGACCGGCATCCAGAATGTCTTCGTCGTCTTCTTCTTTCAGGTCCGTGAAGTCAATGTCTCCGATGCGCAGCTCCCTAGGACTGGCCAGGAGCTGGTCCCAGATGGTATCCGACTCCTTCTTAGGGGGAGGTGGAGGGGGCTTCTCTTGTTCTCCAACGGGGGCCTTGTGACGGGGAATATGGAGGAGGGGGTGAGGCGAGCCCAGTCCCTTTACTAGATCGCCGAAACGTTCAGCGAACACTCTGACGTTTGAGTGAGATTCTGTTTTTTTCGGGTGTTTTTCTGGGGAGTCGTTTTTCGGGGCGCTCTTGCTCTCCTCTCCCTCGCCAGGCGGTCGGACGGCTTCCTGGTTGGCCTTTCCCGCCACTCCTTTCTCCTTCACCCTCTCCTCCTCCTCGCTCTGGGAGTAGAGCATGTCCATGAAGCGTTTGCTGCACCGTTCATTCACATCCACCTCCTCAACACTCTGGGTCCACTGACCTGCATGGAGAGACAATGGGAGTGATATACTGTAGGTGACATTGCTCATTTTCACATTGGCCATTAAATGCGGTGACTACGTCTCTGTGATTGGCAGTGGATTCTGAATGGAATATAATATACTACTGAAGTGACCTATCGGATCCTCTAAAGTTGCCATTAGTAAAATTTTTTTCTCTCTCTC